CTGCTTTTGTAAGACATGAATGACTTACTGGGTTTTTTTATGTGCATTTTTAAACTGAATTGGAATCATACCTTAAATATAATTTTGTAATTTTTTTTCACTTAACAAATAGAGGTTTTTGTATGCTGTTGTGCATATAAAACATTTTTAAATGCTGTTATGTTTCTTATGACAACATTTCTCACAACAACTAATACCCAGTTGGTTAGATAGCCTGTTGCTTTTCCTTGCTTTAAACAGTGCTTCATTTCTGGAAAGAGAACAAGCCTCATTGTTTTTTAATTTATATCATTTAACTTCATGTAAAAGCTAGTATACTTTATATACTCCATGTCCAGGCAAAATTGTAATTTGGTAGGTACCCTAAATGTAGGGAATTTAGAGACTTCTGGCTCCAATATCAGCTGCCAAATACTTGGTAAAATCTACAACCGAATTTTCCTGATTTGTTTTGTTCTTACAAATGAGGATTTGAATTCTAAAAAGTAATTTCCTGCTTTTTAAAAATGCAAGAAAAACATTAAAAACTGTTATCCATGTGGCTGTTTCTCAGTTAAAATTTTCAGAAGTATTTAAGTCACTATTTCTAGTTCTTAATAAGAAATTTAAAATATTTTTAAGTTGTAGGTTAGAGGTTGTTATCTTACCAGAGAAGCCTCTATAGAATAGGTCAGTTAAACAAAACTCATATTAAAATAGGTGAATTATCTTTTTTTTCCCCATTAGGACTTGAATTTTATGGATACATTAAACTAATAAATTTTATTAGACTTAAGGTAAGTCGGTAGCTTAATTTACAATTTTGTTTGGAAACTAAAATACCACAGTGACTATTGGTGTGTTGATTTTAGAAGAATACAAAGAACTATATAATCCTCATATTGGGGGAATCCTGGACTTTAGGAACTAGTACAACATACAGCACCAAGTAAATGAATACACACCATGCTTAGTAAAGTTATCATTTTTAACTGTGTCCCAGAGGTGAATTGATTTTATGTGCAAAAGTAATTCAGTGTCAGGTAATACTGATACCCAATATTTCCCTAAATCAGAAATAATTTCTAGTGTGATTTCAAGTACTGTGGTTGCCTTCTTGTTCTATTTTTTAAATACTTAGTCCTTTTTTCTCTCCTGTTCTAATGAATGTTTATGATGCTACTTCCCCCAAATCCAAACAATAAAAAAGTGTGTAAAATCATATTGCTTAATCTAAGCAATCATCCAATCAGGTTAATGAAATGACAGGTGAACATAGACTCCTTAAATAGAGATTTTATGTGAAGTAGACATGATTCCTTTTTGGTGGGCTTAATTTTCCTATTTTTTCCGGGGCGGAGTTGTGATTATATGCAATGAAAAAACATGCAATTAATTTTACGTCCAGAATCCTACAGTTGAGTATATGAATTCCATATACAACCCAGTGCCTTGGGAGAAAGAAGAGTATTTGAAGCCAGTATTAGAAGATGACCTATTACTTCAGTTTGGTAAGATGAACATACTGGGTCTACTTTAACATAGGGTCATTTGTAATGGCAAATGGTGGTTAAGTTTTCTAAGAAAATATATCGTCTCCTTAATTCTTTAAAGACCTTGCTAGGTAGTTGGTTTCAATAGCAAAGTTAAGTTATTTAAGAACTGATAATTACACTGACCATTACTAGAGAGAAATTTAGAAATACGAATTTCTTTACTGTGTACTAGATGTTCTGAAACATCGGGATACTTGAGAAAATAATTTTTAGTTGTAGACTAATTTTTCTACTAAAATTGACTAAAATTTTAATTTAGTTAAATTAACTAAATTTTTAATTTAAATTAACCAAAATTTTTAAATCTACTGATTAAAAATAATTTTATTTTTTTATTTTTTTCTGCTTCAAAGTAATTTTAAAGTAGATTTAGTAATATTTGCTGCTTTTGTCTGATATATTTAGATGAGATAATTGATTTTTTTTAAGACATCTAATTTACTGAGTTTTTTTTTCCC